GCTGCAGTCACCCTCCCGCGCTGCCCGGTACAGACGGGCGGGCGGTATCTGAGGGCCACACGCGCGGTGTTTGGCGCACAGTTCAATCCCGCGCCCGCCCAGCAGGAACACGCCGAGCAGCCCCGCACACCTGCCCAGGCGCGCCACGCTCCGCACACGTGCGCGCACACACACACGGACCGGGGGGGCGTGGCCAGCGCGCCGCTTATCAATGAACGCCGCGGCCACGCCCGCTCAGAACCCGCCACCTCCGCGCAGGCGCGCGCGCGGGAGGCGTGGCCAGCGCGGGGGGAGTGCCCAATGGGAAGGCGTGGCCCCGCTGGCGCATGCGGGGGGCGTGTCCGGAGCAAAGGTGTGGTTGGGGATGGGGCGTGGCCCCGCGGCCGCGCGCCGCCGGGACTGGGCGCGATGGGCCCGGGCTGGCGGGCGGCCTCGGCGGCGCTGGTGGGCGGCGGCGTGGCGATCTTCGCGGCACTGCGCCGCCTGGCCCTGGCCGTGCCACAGCCCGCCGCCGTAAGGAGCCGTCCCGGCCGCGTCTGGCGCTGGAGGAACCTCCTCGTCTCTTTCGCACACTCCGTGCTGGCGGGGCTATGGGCCCTCTTCAGGTAGGGCAGCGCGAGGAGAGGAGGGTACGGTGCACACGGTGCGAGCTGGGCACTCCTGGAGAGTGAGCTGGGGGTAGGGGGTCCCGGTGTTCACCGTCCCGGAGGCTAGGCTGACCCGCTTCCTGCTCTCCTCACTCGCAGCCTCTGGCACTCTCCGGAGCTGCTCTCCGACATCCAGGACGGCTACAGCGTCTCAGGGCACCTGCTGGTCTGCTTTTCCTCAGGTAAGAAATCTGGCAGGGCAGTGGCCGCAGCCACCCCGCCGGACTTTGTCCACTCCTTGCTCAGTTTTGCCCGGTATGCTGGCTCGGGACGAGCCACTGGCTCAAGGGCTGGGCAGCTCCATGCCTCCTGCCTTAATCACAGCGTGGAGCCCACAGGCTGCCAACCCCCAGGGAATGGCCGTCTCTCCATAGCCAGACAGGGTGGAGATGTTTCTGACACCTGAAAAACAGTCACACCACCCTCCTCCTCCTCCTCGCTGCTCCTCCTTTCCACAGTGGCTCACGGTGCACAAGCCAGACCTTCTGAACGCTCTCCTTTATCCCACAGGCTACTTCATCCATGACACCCTTGACATCATCTTCAACCATCAGTCCCGCTCCTCTTGGGAGTACCTGGTGCACCATGCTATGGTGAGTATGGCCAGCACGGGGGGCTACCACACACCCCAGGGCTCAGCCCACCCAGGTTCCTGGGCATGCTGGAGCCCTTGTGTCTGCCTCACCCTGGCTGCCAGGTAGGCTCTGCACCAACAAGGCGAGGGCAGGACGCCTGCCAGCATCGGCTCCGAGCGCCTGGAGCCAGACAGGCTGGGAGCTGGGAGGGGGAAGAGCTGGAGGCTCAACCCAGTACAGGGAGGTGTAACTGGTCCTGGGGGATCTGGTTTTCTCTAAGCTCTCAGGTGCCTGCTGGGATCTCTGGGTGGGGGGAACTGTGCGCTCTCACTGAGGGCAGGGAAGGACTCGCTTTCCCCAGGGCAAGGCGAGCTGACCCTGTTCTCTGTGTGTGTGTGCCAGGCCATCTCTGCCTTCGTCTCACTCATCATCACAGGCCGCTTCCTGGTGGCAGCGGTGCTGCTGCTGCTGGTGGAGGTGAGCAACATCTTCCTGACAGTGCGCATGCTGCTGAAGATGAGCAACGTGCCTTCCCCGGCGCTCTACGAGGCCAACAAATACATCAACCTGGTGGTGTACTTCGCCTTCCGCCTGGCGCCCCAGGCTTACCTCACCTGCTACTTCCTCCGCCACGTGGAGCTGCAGGGCCAGGGTGCCTTCCTCACTGCCAACCTCCTGCTGCTCGATGCCATGATCCTCATGTACTTCTCCCGCCTCCTCCGCTCCGATTTTTTCCCCTCCCTGCGCAAAGGCTCTGCGGGGAGAGATGTAGACGGTGAGAAGTTTCTGATAGACTGAGACGTGCGTGCCGAGGGGGACCCAGGCTCCGGCTCCTGGAAGTTTTGGGCTCTCCAAAGCTGCTCTGATGTGCCTTAGGGCTTTCTCCCTGGCCCCAGGCCCTGCCTTCACCCGCTCTGCTGCCTAAAAGCGCTCCCCTGCTGGACCAGCCCGACAGCTTCGCCGAGCCGCGGGGATGCTGCTGAAGCCAGAGGCACGGCCGATGGAGAAGCAGCCCAAGCCAGCTTCCCTGCCGGCAGCTGGAGGGCCAGGGGTGGCTGTGCTTTGCAGCTGATGCCTGGAAGGGTTGTGAGGGAGGGGAGGAGTCCCTCCCGTGGTGATGTTGGGTGTAATGTGCATTAAAATCAGTCTATTTACTGCTGCCGCAGCACACCTGGGCTGGCTCTTCTGTGGGGCAGAGCAGGTCGGGGACTCCCCCTGGGCCAGGGCTGTGGGGAAGATGTGCCCCATTCCCAGGGAGGGAGAGGGCACATACCTGCTGCTGGCTTTGTTCTAGGGACATTTCAGCCTGCTGGGTCCTGCCAACCCAGCTGAGCCTTGAGCACAACACTGTCTCTTGTGTGGATGGGTTGCCCTCTTCTTCCTCATTCCTCTGCTCCTCCAGAGACCCAGGGCTGTGCAGGGGACAGTTAAAGGGAACCAGGAGAGGTGCTGAGCCTTGTGGCAGTGCCTGACCTGCCTGTCTCCAGCCTGGTGGTGAGGAGCCTGGCTGGGCTGCGTGACTCACCCGGCAGCCACGTGAAGTGGAGCTGGCATGGAAAAGCCATGTGAGGCCAAGGGCTCTTCCTGGAAGATTGCTGCATGCTTGCATCCCCCTGGAGCAGTTTTCACTGGCACAGTGCAGCTGCAGCCCTGTGAGCATGCTGGGCCCTCTCCTGCAGCCACAGGACCAGGGTGGTTCCAGCAGCTCTCCCAGAACAGTGGGAGCAGAAGGGGGGTTCAGCTCTGGCCCAGAACTGGCCCAGCCGGTCTTGTGGAGCACCAGAGAGGCAAATCCTGCTGATGGTAACAGCTCCGGAATCAGAGTTAGCAGCAAGGCTCAGAGGCACTCCTGCCCAGCCCCTGCTCTGGGCACGATGTGTCCCACCCACCCCAGCACCTGCCCGGCTCAGGCAGAGACAGAACTGCGGTTAAAATGAGCCAGTGGTTAAGGGGAGGCAGTGGGGGATCACCTTTCCACCAGAGAGCTGGGAAACACCCACAGGATGTGGATGGATCCTGGTGGGACTCCCTGGTGTGCACTGACACAGTGCCAGGAGCAGCCTGGCAGCTGGAACTGAGATGTGATAGCTGGGACAGTGTGGGCAGGGATCGATGCCAGCTCCAAACCTGCTCCTGGTCCCTCTATGCTCAAAGCAGAGCTCAGCAGCCCTGGCAGGGCCCAGCCTTGCTCTCAGCAGCGCATCCCAACAGCTGTGTGTGCATCTTCCAGCTGCAGCTGAAGCCTTGTGGCCTCTGCAGTTTAAATGATGGCATCTGCAATCACAACTAAGCTCAAACGTTAATTTTCCCCTCACCCCTATTGCTGCACAATCCCCCTTGTCTCTCTACTTGAAGCAGACACAGCTCTGTCCCAGCAGGTCACAGGCTCAGACCAGGCATGACAAAGCTTCCCAGAGGAGGCAGCTCCCTGCTGTTCCCCTCCTGGTTCCAGCAGGAGCATCCCCAGCTGAGGATCAGGCAGGCTGGCAGCCAGGAGCAAGAGGGCAGTGAAGCACCAGGGCAGCACCACTGGGCAGAGCTGAGCCAAGGCCAGGGCTGACTGCAAGTCATGCTGGTGTGGAATCCCTCCCAGCCTCTGCCTGCAGCACATCCAGGCTCTCCAGAGCCAATCCTTGCCCAGCACTCACAGCAGCTTTGCTACAAAAGTGGCAACTTCTCCCACATCTTTCTTGGGGTGACTGTGTGTGAAAAGGTGGCCTGGGGGTCAGGGGACCCTGCTGCCATGCACCCACAGGGCTGGTGGTACCAGGGAAGCAGCACTCCTCCCTCCAGGCAGTTTTTAACCCCTTACAGCAGGCAGGGAGCACCTCCTGCCCGCCTCCCCCCAGCCCAGGTGAGGGGTGTCAGGCCAGGGCCACACAGCCCAGCAAAAAGCTCCACCTGAGAGCAGCTCCTGCTTTCCATCCCCCACTGTCCTGGGAACCTGCCACCCTCCACAAGAGGCCTGGAGGAACTCTGTGTCCCACCGTTAAAGAGCCCAATTACCCCAATCAATATTTGGTCAGGGCTTTCATCATCTTTCTCAGTCGAGTCTAAGTATGTACTTAAGCTCAAGTACCCTGGAGACTTTTCCATAACTCCCCCACTCCCTGCTCACCCAGTGCTCCACATTCTCCTGACTCCAAACACTCTAAAATCTGGTTTCACCTGGAGACTTACAGCCAAACAGGCAGAGGCAGCAACAGCAGTATTTGGAAACAACCCTGAGGACAGTGAACACCGTGAGGAACAGCAACAGGGAAACTCACACGCTGCAAGCACATGGAGTGGAGATTGTGCCAGAAAAACCCACAAAGCCTCCACTGCTGGATTAGCAGGAGGGCTCAAAGTGAACCTGCAGCATAAGCAGAGAGCTGATAGGCTGGGGAAATGGTGTGACAGGTCACCTGTGTCACATCAGAGCCACTGACAGGTTTTTGTTGTGGCTCTGCTGCACAAGGAAGTGATGTGGGACACCCAAAACACTGATCACAAACACATCCCCAATTACCCTGTGCAAGAAAAGGCAAGACACAAGAGGCCTGGGGGTAAATGCAGAGATATTTGAGATTTAGGTGTCACCTCATGCTGACAGGATCTCAGACACCTCTGAGCAGGGCAGCAGTGCCCCTGCAAACCCTCAGGTGGAGCAGTCAGCTCTGCCCACCCACTGCAGGAAGGGAAGGAGGAGCCCCTTTAAAGAAGTGAAGCCCCAGGACTTGGCTGGGTGCTCCCTCTCTCACAGGGCTGTGCTGTCACAGAACACAGGAGCCCTCAGTGGTGTCACAATGTTTATTAGTCTGTACAGTCCCCGGCAGATGCAGTTTAGATGATTCCAATCTGGAAAGAAGCAAAGGATGTTAAAACAGATGTTATGGTGGCAGAAAGGCAGAGCCTCCACCACAGACATCACTGCATCTCCCCAGGATTCCTGTCCTCCAAGGCTTCCTCCTCCCAGACCTGCCCAAGAGCTTCACACACCCTCTTTGTACACTCATCCCACAGTGATCCTTGTGCTGTGCATCCCCCTGCTCCACTGTGCACCACCTCTGCCTCCTGCCTGCCTCAATCACCTTGAACTGACTGAGAACGTGGCTCCTCAGCACTCACATCCTGTCTGGCTACAGGGCCACACAAGTGCCACCACACAAATACCTCATGAAGAACAATCAGTGGAGGAGACACGAGACAAGGTGCAAAAAAAACCTTGAAAGTTTCAAAGAGATCTCACCTTGTTGGCCACATCCAGTGCATCATAGTCAGGAGCCAGTCGGACGTAAGCTTTCTTCTCTCCATCAGGCCTAGAGAGGAAGAGGAGACATCAGGATAGAGACAACCCCTCCCTCCCCCCTGCTCCACATTCCTGCAACCCCCATGTGCATCAGTGGTTCCTTTGGAAACATCACATTACTCAGTGAAATTGAAGTTTACATCATTTGCACACGACTCCCAGGGTGCCAGAAGTGCTCCCTGAGGAAACCAACCCTCTGCTCTGCCAACATTTCCCACTTCTACCAAGATGTGCTCAGTCCAAAGCTGCACTCAGCAGTGCAGCTTTACCCCACATCTGCTCAATCTCACACATGTATTCCCATTTTCTGCCAAAATGAAGCACCTCACAGCCACCAGGGACCTGTTCTCCTCCCCCTTCTCACCTGATCAACGTGTTGACCTTGGCCACATCGATATCATACAGCTTCTTGACAGCCTGTTTGATCTGGTGCTTGTTTGCCTTGACATCCACGATGAACACCAGAGTGTTGTTATCCTCAATCTTCTTCATCGCTGATTCTGTGGTCAGAGGGAACTTGATAATGGCATAATGGTCCAGCCTGCAAGAGAGATGCTGTGATTAACAGAGGGCTGGCAGGTGCTGCTCTGAATTTCAGGGGCTTTTTTTGGGGTGCATCAGTCACCTAAGGTTATAATCACAAACTCTCAGGCTTTGGTCGCATAAAATCATCACCTGCATCCCAAACCACCAAGTCTCCACACCAGCCCATTCAGGGGCTGCTCCAATCCCCCAAACCCCCCAGCAGGGCAGAGCCCCCTCCCCACACGCACTTGTTTCTCCGTGGGGCGCTTTTCCGGGGGTACTTGGGCTGCCTCCGCAGCCGCAGCGTCTTGGGCCTGCGGAATGTGGGCGACGTGCGGATCTTCTTCTTCTTGTGGCTGTGGACCCCCTTCAGGACGGCCTTCTTGGCCTTCAGCGCCTTTGCCTTAGCCTCTGTCTTCGGAGGCACAGCTGCGGGGAGAGCTCAGTCAGCGCCACACAGATGTGCAGGGTCGGGGTGCGCTCCCCGGCCGGGCACGGCTTCCCCGGCAGGACCTCACCCAGCGGCCCGCGCTCCCTCATCCAACCACGAGGAGCCCCCAAAATGCCCAACTGAGTCAAAAGTCTCCCGTTTCCGTGCGGGAAAAGGCGCTCATTCCCTGGCCGCGCAGGATTCCTAGCACCGAGATGGGAACACCCCCCACCTCCCTCAGACAACCTGGCAGGCCTCTCCCACCCCCTCCACGTGCCCGGGCTGAACACAGCGCTGCAACCCTGCGCCACTCCCCGCTTCGTTCAGCCC